ATGAAAAAACTTTCTCGTCTAATGCGATGACCCTTCGCCACATTTCCGGCGTCCAGTGCCTGAAGTCCTGGGCATAGGCGAGTCAAGTTGCCTCATTTTGCTCCGTCAAATCCACTTTCTTGCTCGCGCTACGGAAACGCAATTTCGTTCGTTTTCGAACTGTTCTTCGCACTGTTTCGTAGCACGCATTAATGTTCATTTGCTGCTACAATTCCTTTAATGTGGTAAAAGGATTCGCAAGAATGGCATTCTTTAATGCCTCGAGAGTGTCGTTGTCGATAGCGTGGGGCCGGGAATTATGCCGGCGCTGATCACCAGCTTCTTCAGCGGCACCCTCGGCATTAAATTTCGTTGCCCATCGTCGTATGGTTCGCTCCGAACAACGAAAATGGGCAGCTATCACATCGCGAGCCACATTTTCATTTATCAAAAATCGCAATACAGCGAGATTTGACTCATTCGGCCGAAACGGCATTTGTAAAAAATAAAAAAAATTTTAAAAATCGCGAAACTGAAATTAAAACGAATCACCGAACACGAAGCGCAAACGATACGCCATAGTCTTTATCGTCCTTCACGAGCGAATTTCGAGTTATTTAACTTAACGCCGATCTGCCTGCCGCCGATTCTTTGCGGTGGCGGCAAAAACATGCAAAATTGCCGAAAACGGAGTGTAGGCGATAAGGTGTGCAAAAAACGCTATGGAGGGGGCACTCGTTGCGGCGTTCGGCGGCTAATGTGGTCGGGGGACCTAATGTGGTCGGTGATGGCCTCTCGTTCTTTCTCGCTCGAACCTTCAACGATTGAACATCGAACGCAAATCTTCGCCATAATGAGGGTACTTGAAAAAGAAATTTGCCAAGCAATACAAACCCACGTATTGCTATACGACAGCGGCCATCCAGACTACAAGAATACTAATCGGAAAATAAATGCATATAGGAGCGTTGCCAGAAGATTAAATATAATTGACCGTGAGTAATAATTTTTAATTTTATCTTTTCTCTCTCTCTTTCTCTCTCTCTCTCTCTCTCTCTCTCTCTAGTTGTTTTTTTTATTTCATGTGCCCGAGTACGAACAAAGAAAATTGCTCATTGCTATTGTTGCCTTATATTTCGCGCATCGGGAATAGTCTTCTTGAACTGCTTTTGTTTATTTCCGTTTCTTAGCCACTGTAAGGTGCAACAAATCTCTCTCTCTCTCTTTCTCTCTCTAGTTGTTTTTTTATTACATGTGCCCGAGTACGAACAAAGAAAATCGCTCATTGCTATTGTTGCCTTATATTTCGCGCATCGGGAATACTCTTCTTGAACTGCTTTTGTTTATTTCCGTTTCTATGCTCAGCCACTGTAAGGTGCAAAAAATCTCTCTCTCTCTTTCTCTCCCTATCTATACGATTGACTATACTCTGATATAATATTAATAAAAATTCTATTATTTCTATGTTACAGCGCGAATCGTTCAGGTGATGTGGAAACAGCTGCGCAAGAGATACAACCACCTGCAACTGGTGATTGCGAGAGATAGCAGGCGTTTTCGGACCATGTCCAGAACGAACCATGAAGTAATCTACAGGTTGGACTACTTGTGCCACCACACTCACCATTTTGGCAACCACTACAACAGAACTTTTGAAGAGCTCTGCCAAGAAGCGGGCATAGTAGTTATATTCGAAGATTAAATGAACCGCTTTTTGTATATCTATAAATACCAATAAATCTCCCAATAACCCACCAATAAAATCTCTCTTGAGATTTTTGCAATGCACTTCAGTTTTTTCAGTTTTTTCACCATCAGATAATTTCTTTTTTTCACCTACTTTTACACAAAGTTAATTGTTAATTATAATCATTAAATTTTCATATTTATGAACATAATATCTTGCCACTGCTTCATTTCACTGGCTTTTTAACTACACCTCATTTTTGCTTATCTTTATTATTTATTTTGCATTAGTTTTAATTAGTTTTAAAGAATTTAAATTTATGTAGCCAATCTCGATTAGATATTTATCGAATATTACGTTCGACCTATCGATAGCGAATTACGTCCGCCGATAAGTAACGTCACTACCTTATCTGCCTTACTCAGAGCATCTTAAACTATGAAAAGAGGTAGATGGTGGTCTGAATCTTTTTTTCGTGTCGGCGGAATGTGGATTTGGTCTGGACAGAATTAAAGTAGGTCTAGTGTACTGCTGTTGAGCCGCGGCACCGATCCGAATTCGTTTTATAGAAATTCGTCAATAAAATATGCCGTCGCCACAGACAAAGAAATACTTTTGCGTATGAAGGACATCGAACGCACGTTTTAATAATTATAATTTTTTTTACACACGTTAGAATATATCACTGCTGGAACATTAGCGAAATCCCACTTACACTCGGTCACGCGCCTGATCATTTATTTTGATCGAAAGATTAACAACTTTTAGTTAGTAATTGCATAAAAAAATCGATACTTAACTTCCAGCTAAATTTCGCGTGCGATCATGTGTATGAAGGATCGAGCGGGGTCCACAAATTTTTTGTCTTTTTAGACTCGCGCATAATTCCTCTGAAAATTTACACTAAATTTGCTAATCTTATCGGTACAACATGTACATAGTTAATTTTTTGGGTAATTTGTGAGGCATGTAAAATGCGTTAGTAACGAATGTTCGTCACGGAAGACAAAGGAATACCCTCTTATGTAAGGGACATTATAAGCGCGTTTTTTTTATTTCATTTTTTAAGCAAACATAGAACACTTCACCAGTTGAGGAATAAAGGATTCCAAATACTGCATAATCGCTGGACTGATGTTTCATTTTAATCGATAAATTCACGAGTTTTAGATGAAAAACGCGTCCTAACATATTAACAATTTTATCGATATTATTAATATAACGAAAAAATAAAAAAAGACTTACTACTTCACAGGCGTGCTACGGTTTATGTTGAAAATAAGGCCATTGTGGACTCGATGAATAAGTTCTAAAGCCATATTGAATAATGCAAAAAAACTTATTTGTTACTGCAGACGTTGACTGCTCGCTTGCAATGATGGAAGTGAACGATGACCAACGATGACTAGCTGTGGGCAAATATTCGCACATAGAGCGCGCTGCTTCGCACTCGAAATTTTTATCGAAATTTTCGCGCCACTATACAAAAATACGAACGAGTTAGTAAATTGAAAAATTGACAATCCGAAATAATGAAACAGTCTTGAATAAATTGAATACACAGAGGTAAACGTATGCTTAAACTCTTATCAATACCGAAGATATATGTATAATTTACATAAGTGTACGCGACGCTGTATTTACGGTCTTATGTGAATAAAGATCGAGTGTTGGCGTTGATAAAGCAACACATGCCACACGAACAACGAAGTCAAACTGGCAAGCGACCAGAGAGGGGAGAGAGACAGAGAGAGAGACAGAGTTACATGCCGTGAACTGCCGCATGCTGCGGCTTGACTGCCGGGCACTGCTGGCCCAAGTAGCACAGTAAATTAGAGGGGGTCAGGCTGTGACTTGTCTCTGTCGATTTTAGCTCTTGAATGCTCTGTTACTCCCGCCTTCGTCTGCTCACTTGCCAACACAACTTCTCTTGTTAGTGTGGTGTGAATAGTTTCATCACCGCCGAAACGCATTCTTTATTCGCGTACGCGTCGCGTACGAATATATAAACTATACATATATCGTCAGTATTGATCCGAAATTATGCATGCGTATACAAATGTGTATTAAATTTATTTGAGACTGCACGATAACCAATTTTCCATTTTTTACATCATCCGTATTTTATTACAGTGTCGCGAAAAATTTTTATAGAAATTTATAATTGGCAAAGGCAGCGCCCTCCATGTGCGAAAATTGCCCTCAACCAGTCACCGTTGGCCATCGATCACTTATATCATTGCAAGCGAGCAGCAAACATCGGGAGTAACAAATAAATTTTTTCGAAATATACAAAATGGCTTTTGGGTTTTTTAATAGAGTTCACGAGGGATGGCTTTTCGATATACGCCGAGTTACAATTGAATATATGTAAGTTTCATTTCATTTCTTTGTTTGCTTACTATGATGATATCTAGATTTCCAAGCGTTTTTCAACATCCAATAATTATGCAATTTTGGGTCAAAATGAAAAATCAGACGCGTGATCGAGTGTTCGTAAGAATTCGTTCATCATCAACCGGTGATGTATTCTTAAGTGTAAAAAAACATAATAATTAAAACGGGCGTTCGATATCCTATATCCGCAAAAGTATTTCTTTGTCTTTGTGACGGCATGTTTTATTGACGCACTTATATAGAATGAATTCGGATCGTGCCGCGGCTCAACAGCAGTACAACATCATTTGCTCTCTCGTTGACAGGATCCCAATTCGGAGGCAGATTGCTCGTTCTCCGTGCACGAGAGGTTAAGATTTTGCTGTCCGAGCTCGAGAATTTTATCGATTCACTCGTAGACATCCAATTTTCAGTCAGCGAGAAAATGCGCTCCGAAAAATGATCGTGAGTTAGTATGCACGATGACACGTGAGATTTATTAAGGTTCTTATAGCGTACACGACCAGCGCGCTTTATATTCCAGTAGTAGCCGTAGTTACAAGAGTATTTAGCTCTCATTTTTAATTTTTATTTTATTAAATTTGGATTTAATATCTGATGCGAAAAAAGTATGAGGTAAAAATATGAGAAACGGATCACTTCGTTTTTTTGTACCGGTCGCAATATGTACTAGTTTAAAATATGATGAAGCTATTTACTTACGAGCTATTTTAATTACGAATGCTTTTATTCTTTGTTTTTATTCTTTCACTTTAGCGACTTACGATGCCACAACGTAGATCAAGGATGTTATGGAACGGCGAAACTTTATCGACGTGAACTTGATAATTTCATCATAGTACAACCACATTCTGCCAGCTGTGTCCCGAATCAAGAGACTATAGAAATCGCTCGTTTCAAGAACATTTTAAAAAATGCTGCTAGGCGTGATCACCGAGAGCCACGTCAAGTGTACGATACGTGTGCTTTACTCTACTCTGAAGCTGCTAGCCTTGTTCCATTTAGTTCTGTGCTCAATTCGATCAGAAGATGGAGATCTTTGGAGTTTCCTGCGCATGACCGAAGAGCGAATAACGCTGCAGCTAGGCCATTCTTTTTGAATCGTGGTAAAGTATTCAATCGCTACCATTTACAGTCGAATATATTATTTTATTGTGTTATTATATTCAAAGGTAATTATCGTCGCCAAATGCATCGCAGAGGGCTAGTCCAAGGACAACGACTAGCACCTCCAAATGTCGTTGCACCAGAGCCTCCGCGAGTAGCTGCTGTTGATGATGCAAATGTATTGCCGATGCCGAGACCACCGTCACCACAGGAAAATGTCGTTGCTCCAGAGCCTCCACGAGTAGATGCTGTTGAACCTGCAAATATATTGCTGATGCCGAGACCACCGCCACCACCAGAAAATGTCGTTGCTCCAGAGCCTCCACGAGTAGCAGCTGCTGATCCTGAAAATGTACTGCCAATGCCGCTTCCACCACCACCGCCAATAGGACCTCACCAGAGTAGTGGTAAAGTACAAAAAAATTACGATTTACTGTGGTAAACCTTTTTATATATGATTTTCATATATATCATCTAAATTTATAATTTTACGCGTAGCCGTAACTTCATTCGTAACAGTGGTGCGATTATTGTGATGAAATATCGTCCTGTCTGGTGAATCAGCAGAGACTCAATTGTAATGCGTAGTAATACGCGTACGTAACTTGGAGTCCCATTCAGTTTACGATTTTTATCATTATTTTTGCAGCTGTGCGGATTGAGTGTTCGCTCGCTCGAAATTAGTTTTCGCAAACTTCCAAGGGTAGAGTCGCGTCGTTGTCTTGATCTATTAATTCATGATCGACATCGTTAGACTCCTTTTAAAAACATTTTAATATAACATATAATATTATAATCAATAAATTTTCATTTTAAAATCCTAACAACCATTTCAACATAACAATAAATTTGTTTCAGACCCATGCGTTGTTTGTATGACCGAAAACAGAACACACTGCTTCTTGCCTTGTGGTCATTACATTTGCTGCCTATACTGCACGGAAAGAGTTCTTGCATCTGATACAAGATGCCCAGCTTGTCGAGGAGAAAGCACAGGTTTCCTCCGAATTTTTCAATGATTTAGATGAAAAATTTTAATGTTTCTATTTTCTTTTTAATAATGTACACCATTTTTCTTTTTATAATAATTGATTTAAAAATCCCCTGCCTGTACGGGATTAAAGTTTTTTATGCACATTTTGTAATATTATAAAACATTTGTTTTATTGTTAGTTTTAATTAATCTTATTTCCTACATTGATGTAAAACATCTTTATTTCTATTTATATTTTATTTTATATACAACAAACATGTTCGGCAGAGGCCACAAGTTTTATCTGAGTTTTCAATTATATCAAATTTAACTTTTTTATAATTATAATAACATATAATTTAAATACTTATGTTTTTTTTTCTTAAATATAGATCATCATCGAATTGGTAATGTAACTACGTAATTTAATTAATGTAAATACTTACCTATAGTTGATGTTGTTACTCCAAATGTGTGGAGAGAAAATTACTGTTTGGATCTGTATACTTGACATGATTAAATAATAAAGTAAAAAAGCAATCCACAAACTAAAAAAAAATCTAATTAATAATTCTATTAAAAATTTATCGTCCTCGTTAATCGACAATGCAAAGAGCTGTTGCTTCATTGGCTCTTACATTCATTAGCTGGATGATTGGGTCGCTTACTCAGTGTATCGTTCTCTCGCGCAGCCAAATTCGCGAGATATTAATAATTTTTTCATATCAATTAGCGAAAAAGCAGGAGAAGCTGCGCTACTGCAGCCGAGCCTTCGAGTGGAACGAGCTGCTCCTCCTAAACGGCCTCCACCCAGGCAAATTCAGGTTCACCCGTTTTTACTTGAATCTCGCCTACTTAACGGCGGCGATGGGCCTCGAGTAGCTCGACCTCGTGCTGTCGCTCGGCGACTTTGAGCGCATCGTCCTGAATCTGACGGGTAACGCGGCGTTCACGCACATCCATGCTTACACGCTGTCCCTGTGGCTCGGCAATGGAGAGATAGGTCAGCAGCTGGGCCAGGTCGCGAGCGATTTCGCCGCAGATTACACAGACCAGGAGATCACGACGCTGCGCCGGTACTATTTCAGGGCTCGAGTGTTCATCGACTTTCTCTCCATCAATCTCTTCACCGCGACCTTTTCGTACTTCATGCAGCCGTTCACCGGCCAAAGTGATCAAAGTGAGATTTATCAAGCTCTGCGTGCTAGTTGAAGCGTGATCATGGAATTAAAAGTTTTTTTTCGATTCTTGCGCAGTTCTGAGATACATGCGCGGATCATCAGCGAACTCGAGCATCGCGTACCAGCTACCGTACCGATTCCACACGTTTCACCGAGTTGACTCTGCACTACGCAGGGAATCGCATAGTACGTTGCTCTCTATCGAAATTCTAACGCGTAAAAACATCAAAAAAGGATAATATTAGAGATTGGCCACAGAAGTAGTTTTTTCGATTTGATATTGAGCAAAAAACTTGAACGCTGATAATCGCTCACAAGTCCGAATCTAAGATTGAGTCATAAAAGAGCTTTTGAAGAGCCAGGTGAACTCGCGCTGAGATTGATAATGGTATGCTTTGTACCTAGGAAGTGAATAACTTAAAAATCTCAGAGTTTTATGCGCTTCATAGATGCAAATACAGTTATTTGTGCATCTCGTAGCCTAATGTAATATTCTCATTTAGCTCGGGGCGAGCCAAATGTTAATTCAGGTTTGGATTGACATAAAAACGATATTTTGTTCAACATTATTTCATTTAATGTTTCATAAAATAATATGAAATTCTGTCATTATTTGTAAATGGATTTTTTTTTTATGAAACTCGAAATTGACGAATGAAAACATAAATGCCGTAAGCCGCATCTTTTATATCACAGCGTCCCTACATATTTTAGCTTATTTTTCAATCTTCATTGTACAGAGCCATCTGTGGTGTTACATCGTAATTTAAATGAGGTCGTCGGTTGAAGCCTTTCGATCGTACGGAATTAGGATATTTTAACTTTTGCTTTCAGTAGTTCTATTTTTCATTCGAAGTTTTCACGAGTGTCAAATAAAATAGGTTTTTGATAATTTTTACCGTTCGTTATAATTATAATGACTCAATCGTGAAATCGCCTTTCGTTTTAACTTAATTATTGCATCATAATTTCGACTTTCAACATTAGGATTATAAAAATAATGGGACTATATATTTTTTTTTGTTAAAAGATGCAGTAGGTCAAGAGAGTTTCGGTTTTTCGAGCCCCTCCCATAAAAACCCATGAATGCGTGTTGATCTTTAAACTTATGACAATGCAAGGTATGAAATTTTTAAACTTATAGAAATAGAATACATAAATTATAATGTCATAAGTGCCACTAGTAGATATAAAAATATAGACTCTGCAGTGTCTAACCCGAAATTTACGCAATATTTCGGGTTAAAACATATTTACCTCAAAACCAAAATATGTATTCTCTAAGTTTAAAAATTTCATCCCTCGCATTGGCATAAATTTAAAAGTCAGCACACAATCATGGGTTTTTATTACACTATGACCATGAAGATCTACACCAAAGGACACTAGGTGCTTTTATGCCTAGCAAAATAAAGACTCGATCAGTACTAAACTATCATCTTTTGATAATGTCATAAAATAAAAAATCAGCACACAAGGCCAAAATTTGTTGCAAATTAAAAACAAATCACCACGCTAATATTCCGTTTTTTGAGCTTGTTATCAATGTATCTTTCAGGCTTTTTAAGGGCATAAGTTTAAAAATCAGCACCTATTATCAGTCACTATCCGTCAGTCTATTGATACATCGATGCTCTTTATAAAGAGTAGAACGTTTCTAATCTCTTCTTAAAGTAAAAGTGCTACTCTTTGACGAGACCGTCGATGTATCAAAATCAAAGACGGTTTGAATTTTTTAAAATGGAACGAATCGTCAACTGGCGCTCATATACATTGTGTAATGGCTCCTACTCCATTTTATAATTAGAATGTAATGTGCAATGGTCGTGGTCTATTTTGCTTGTACCAACATTTTTTTACAGAAAATTTCAGATTCACAGATACAATGTCGATTTAAGTTTAAGTGAAATCTCTTTAGGAGATCTTCCAATGTAAGTCAAAAGGTATTTAATATAACTAAATTGGAGATCCATTAATAAATCTAATTCATTGGCATATTAAGTATGAAGTAGTGTACAAGTTGTGATTATACGATTGCAAAATAGCGTCAGCCTATATTTTAATTTCTATCAATTTACAATAATAGATCCGACGTGATTGATCAAAGAAATCGTTTCCTCATCTTTTTCGGGATTATTTTCACGAAAATCAATAGCCTCGGTCGAAGCCTCATTATATAGAGCTAAGAGGCTTTGTCAAACGGTACGACATTCATCAAAACAAAATTTAGACAACATCGTTTACAATTTCAAATTCAATGAGGGGACACATACACCTTAAACTCAAAAAAATTTTATTGGATTTTTCTTCTCCTTTTCATTGAATTTTTCAAAAATTCCAAAATTTCGATATTGCATGAAATACAGAGCTGCGTTCGCGAGCCTTTTTTCTAAACTTTGCATGAAAAATTTTTTCTTTTTTAGTTTTTTATGGCGAGTAGTATTTTTGGCCGCCTGTCGTAATTTTCAGAGGGTAGCTTCAGCGCCAGGATCGCGTATATTTTTTTAGAACATCAATGCTTACAAACACAAGCACTTTAGGAGTCATCGAACACGCATATTGCTCTGCATAAACAATTAAGCATACATTTTTTTCATTTTACTTGCCGAAATATAAGTCATAAAAATACTGTTTGAGAGTGACTTATTGGTTCGATCCGCGGTAGTGACCGTAAACATTGATGTTTTAAAGAAGTGTACGGTACCCTGGTGCTGAAGCTCAATCGGTACCCTTTAAAAGTTACGATAGATGACCAAAAACAATATTCGCCAGAAAACACTAAATAAGAAAAAGTTTAAGACGCGAAGTATGGGGAAATGGCTCACGGAAACCGCTGTATCTTAAGGCAAAATCAAAATTTTGGAGTACCAAAACATTCAATGAAAAGGAAAGGAAAAATTCTACTCAAAAATCGAATCAATAATTTTTGAGTATAAGGTGTTCCCTTAATATCTGAAGACTTTTACTTTCATTATTTTCAATGCAAAGTTCGTTGCTGCAGTTCATATTTGAAATTTGTCGTTGTCATCGCCGTCGTTGTACGCACAAGATGTAAACATCGCAGCGGCCTATGTTTACGTATCGCTAACTTAAACGTAGGTACGTCAAATCGGAAAGTCTCGAGTAACTGCCAGTATCCCGGACGACGTTGAAGGAACCGATTCTCCTCCTAATATCCTCGTTTCTGTTTTTTGTGTTTTATTGTAAAAATGGCGTCTCGCGACAGAAGGATGATCTTCAATCGAACTCACTCAAATAATGGACTCGAGGGAGCTCAGTCCGATGAAGCTCCTTCGAACAACGACAAGTCTCGGCCGTCACCCGCAGCGACTCCAGCGAGCGCCCATATCAATGAAGTTTCTCAAAGCGAAGTTGTGTATAACGTCCAGCCAGGAGATCAAGCAAATATAACACTGGACACACAACCACCACAGCCGCAAAGGAGTGAGAACGAAATGTATCTCAGAACTAAGCTTGATTGTCAATGCTGGGGTGGCTTGATCGTTCTTTTTTTTGTGATCGTTTACGTGTGTTTGATTTATTTTGCCGACTGAGTTCTCAGCCGAACATGACTACGACATTTCGCGAGACTTTAAGACGACGACTGTATGGCCGTGGCGATAGAAATACATGTTTTTTTTATCTTTAGAACTCGATTAAATAAATAATTGTAATTTTTGTATTTCTACATGCACCATAACATTTGCGTTGTCGCGTACATCATTTAATTACACCCTGACCACATAAATATAACAATACAATATTACGCGAGAGACGTCAACCTTGATAAACAAGTAAAAGGTAAAAAAAAAACAAAATGAAACAAGGCGCACTGGATAGTACCTATAGAATATCAACATGTACCTATTAATACATCAACTCATGAGTAAATTCCATC